ACCTAGTATAAATAGGAGGCCACGACTAGGTAGACTATATTAAGATATTGTTCCTTAATAGCGCCCTGAATAATAGGCTACGTAATAGTCTAGTAGTAGCCGACCTCCCCGATACGTATACCGAGTAGGTCGATAAAGTATAAACGATCGCGTGAAGATAAAAGGGTATTAATAAGTTATACCGACTAATTCCTATTACGCGTAAACCGGTTAAGGACGCTAATAGCGATATCGTTATAGGTAGAGCTAATAAGGTTAGCGAGTCTAAGGGGACATAATAAAGACCTAACCGCTACGCGAATATCACGTATTAGAATTATTAGAAAAAGGGCCACGTTTAACGGCACTATAAGAGTAAGAAAGATATAGTAGCCTGAATATCCCCTTAAGAGGAGGAGCCCGAAAATATTCCCGAGGATACCGAAGACTCGGAAAAAGAGTAGCTTTAGTATAAAATCAGGCACCGGAGCTAATAGCGCGAGAGTAATACGAGTAAGAGGAGTTTAAACCGTTATTATAAAGCGAGTTAGTATTAATCTAAATAAGAGTTAATAGTAATAGGTTAATAAACACTCTTATAGATACAGGTTATAACTACCATACCGCTATAAATAGAAAGTTTACTCGAAAAATACGCTTACTATTAGTCGATAAGAAGAAACGACTACTAAAAGGCTTCTCGGATAAGACTAAACCGGCTAGTAATACTAGTATCGTAGTCTTTACGCTAGATATATAAGGGTACACTAAATATATTTTCGCGTATATAATACTAAGTCTAGACTAGGATCTTTTCCTTAGGCTTTTATAGATAAAACGTAACGATATAGTCCTCCACGCTAAAGAAGAAAGGCTCCGCTATAGAGTAGCCGATATCGATATCCGACTTTAGGGAGAAGAAGAGCCGAAGGTAGTATAAGAGATCCGTACTATAGTACTAGTAACGAAGTCCGTGTTTATAGGATTATATAGACGACTATGGCACTAGAGGGGAAAAAGATAGGAAAAGGGCTTACGGGCTATATCGTTACAAGATATCGAAAAGGCTCTAAGTATAAAAGAACTAGTAGACCCGTGAGAATATATTTCCGAGACTATTATATAAGAGTTTTGCGATTCATTTACGTCTTTATACCCTATACGCCTACTCCTATACCGACCTAGCACTAACTATAAAGTCTACTTATGACAGAATAATAGTAGGAACTTTTGAAGATATCTGACGATATCGTATAAACGATATCGGATAAACGGAAGGGACGAAAGTCACGAAAAGCAGTGGAAAAAATAAGAAGGTAATAATGGGATTGTAAGGTAGGATGTCTGCGCGCATATTGTCTTCTTCGGATCGAAAAAGGGATTGAGATCAAGGATTAAGGATTAGGAACAAAGAAAGGAAAGAACCGAACCGAGGGAACGGGTTGATATCCTTTGTTCTTTGTAAAAGGATCGATATCGTAATAGTGTTGAAATAAAGATCGATATCGTAGTAATATCGTAATCCTTTGTATCCTTTGTCTGACTCGTATTAGATGAACTGACTCGAAAGAGAACGGTCTAGACTTACGGGGAAGATATCCTTTATTCGAGTACGAAGGATATACTCGAAGGATATTAAGGATATTATTAGTAATAATAATAATATCAACAGGAACGAATAAGCCTTACTATAGGGCCCGCTTTATAATATATTACGTAAAGAGCTCCTTACATTACGGAAGACGATAACGGATCTACTAGATAAGGGATTTATTCGTGCGAGTAGATTAGCGGCCGCCGCGCCTATGCTATTTATAAGGAAGCTAGGAGGCGGCCTCTGATTTTACTATAACTACCACGCCCTGAATACGATTACTTAGCGAGATCGTTACCTACTCCCCTTAATTATAAAGACGCTATATAACTAAGCTAAGGCGAAGTAGTTTATTAAATTAGATATTATCGCCGCCTTGTATAAGATACGGATAGCACCTAGGTATAAGTATAAGACTATATTCTATACTCGGTTTAGTCTATTTAAGTAGCTAGTATACCTTTTTAGGTTAAACGGCGCGCCCGCGATATTCTAGTAATATATTAACTTATTGTTACGGGAGTTCCTTAACGACTTCGTCACTACGTATATAAATAATATCCTAATCTACTTAAACGGATCTTATAAAGACTATAAGAAGAAGGTATAGCGAGTACTTAATACCCTTATAGACGCTAGGCTAAACCTTAACCCGAAGAAGTGCGAGTTTAGTGCTAAGACGGTTAAATACTTAGGGTTTATCGTTACGGCGGAAAGAAAAGTACTTTATAACCCCGAGAAACTTAAGGCTATTATAGAATAGAAAGCGCTAGTCTTTACGACTAGAGTACGAAGTTTCGTAGGGTTCGCTAACTTTTAGAAGATATTTATCCGCGACTTCGTAGCTATTATAGCGCTACTTATAGCCCTAATAAAGAAGAATGCTTTATTCTATTAGGGCCCCCTATAAGAGGTAGCCTTTAAGGAGTTAAAGTAAAGGTTCTAGGAAGAGTCTTACCTATAATAATAGTAATCTAGAAGGAAGACGTAGCTAGAAACAGATTACTTAGGGTTGACGCTAGGTAGTATATTCCTGTAGGAAAACGAATAAAGACGTAGGTGCGTTATTATATAATACTCACGCTATCTTAACTCCGCCGAGTATAACTACCCGATTCACGATAAGGAGATACTAACAATTATAGACTACTTATAGGTTTAAAAAGCCGAGCTTATAGGTAATAGCCGGTTTTAGATTTACTCTAATTATATAACGCTCGAATACTTTATAACTAAGAGAGCGCTTAAGTCGCTAGGTAGCTAAGCTCGCTTAGTATAACTTTGTATTAGAGTATAGGCGAGGGGCTAATAATATTATAGCCGATATACTCTTATATTAAGAGTAGAATATACCTAAGGATTCTTCCGATATCCGAGAGTAGGGGAGGTATATCTAGATAGTCCCCGATATAGCTATCTCCCCCCGAGTATACCTAATAAGGGTAATATTACTAGAGTTAACTATGATCTTCGTAGTAGACCCTAACCTATAGCGATTATAGAATACAGCTAGGGCTATTAATGGGCGTTATTAAGGTGCCTTTACCGTAATAATAATAGGAGAATAGAGTTTCCCCCCTAAGCTAAAGCTTAAAATATAGATCACCGAGTATAGAATCGACTAAGGACGGCTAATATTTCGCGACCGCTTATAGGTATTAGGGGATACCGAAAACAGAGTTAGCCACCCGCTATAAGGCTATCTCGTATAAGCCATCTATAACTTAGTAATCGGTAAATACCTAGGCAGCGATAATACTATTACCCTAATCGCCTACTAGTTTTTTTAGCCAGGTATAAATTAAGATATTAGAAGATTTATACGGAACTACGATATATACTAAGCTAGTCACGTACAAAGGGGTATAAAGAGGGGATTACTACGCCCGATCCTTATACTAGAGCGAATCTTCTATAATATTATAATAGACTTTATAATGGATTTATTACCCACTTATAAAGGTAAGTATAGATACCTATAGGTAATCACTAACCGACTCTTAAAATCGGTAACGCTAAAAGCGATACATACTATAGATACTAAAGCCTATACTAAACGGTTCTTACTCTACTATTATAGGTTCTATCGAATACCGAAGTCTAGTATTAACGATAAGGGGTTAAACTAGATTAGCCGCTTTTAGCGATACTTTTATAAACTTGCGGGTATTAAATAACGATTAAGTACCATATACTACCCTTAAACGGACGGAGGCCTTAAACGTATTAACTAAGAAGTCTAAGCCTACTTATAAGCATATACTTATTACGCTTAAGATAATTAGAATACGCTATTACCGGTAGCGTAGCTAGTCTTAAATAACCGGGTACACTCGATAATCTAAATAAGCCTATTCTTTCTATAATACGGGTACTATACGAATCCTCTTTAAGTTAATAAGACTACGCCGACCGATAAGCGCGAGGCTTCCGTGTAGGACTTGTTAAGTCGCCTTAAGGAAGTTACCTAGTTCGCCTAAACCGCGATAGCCGCTATATAACTACGCTAAGAGGAGTTAGTCAACTATTAGGGTTACCCTGCTAAGATATTCGAAAAGAATAACCTTACATAGTTAGATATCGGTAATTACTCCTTATTATAGCCTTTAAAGAAACTTACCTAGCTTTACTATAAGTATAAAGTTATAAAGGTTATTAACTCCTATATCGTAGAACTAGATATCCCCTTATAGATTTATAACCGTTTTTATATAGATCTTCTACGGCGAGCCGACTATAACCCCTTATTAAGGTAAGCGATAATATACCCTTAGCTATTACTAATCCGCGAAAGGCTAGATAAGGAGGAGTAAGTAATAGAGGAAGTCCTTTACGCCTATACCCGAAGGCGAGGTCGTGGTAAGTTTTATAAGATATTGATATAATAGGAGGGTTATATATAACTAATATAAGAATTACTTAAAAGTATACGGGAGATATAAGCGCTTAACGAATTCGAGAAGAAGTATAGCCTAGTATAGTTAAATAACGGGCTTTTATAATAATATACGAAGGAGACACGGGCGTGAAAGAAGGCCGATATAGTGGCGAGGAGGATAAGAACCGAGAGTGAAGTCGTATTAAGGATATACCCCCGAGGCACTTAACTTATAAGTAAGAAAGAGCTAAGTAAAATCCTAAAAACTACTATAATAACCTAAACAATATAAACGGCTTACTCCCCTATAATTTTACCCTATTCTAGCTCCTCCTTTTATAAGGCTATACCGTCCTTAGCGGCACCTACCTATAAATCGTCCTAGGGAGGAGCCGAGGCGAGTATAATCTCGGGAGTAGCCCCCGGATTATTATGAACGGCGAAAGGAGTCACGGCTATATAATACTTATATACTTAGTAGACAGAGTAAAAAAGGTTATAAACCTCTTACGATATTATAGTAATATCGTTATTCTTATCCTTTAGTTTTTACGATATATCCTTAAGCTTCTTATCTATACTATATATAGAAGTAACGATATCGTTAAGGGCTTATACTATACTTACCTAGAACTCGGTAATAGCGGATAGGGTAGTGGCGGGCGGCGGGGCGATATCGGTAAGCGGCGTGGCGGCGGGAGCGGGAGTAGCGACGGGAGTAGGAGCTATATCGCTTATTAGTCACGGTTACCCTATATATAACCGGTATACTTACCTTAGAGTATTTATAAGTCCGGTATAAGCACTTATAATATTTAGTATCGGCGCGAGCAGCGCCGGGGCCTGACTAGTAATAGCACTTAACGGTATATTCTTATTTATATTACCGGGTAGCGTACTAGGCGTAAGGGGCGAGGCGGCGAGGTCCGTAGGGGTTCTTAGGCGCGCGGCGCTTCTTTAGGGGGGGGGCGGGGTTTACTTAGCGTTAGTGATAACTAACCTTATAACTAATAATAACACGGGCTAAACTTACGTTAGTATTATTATTACCCTTATAAGGGCGTTTACTAGGCAAGGCGTAATCGGATATCCATTAACGGTTAGCTATAGCACTAAACTATGAGTAAGGGGTGTACTAACTTACTATAAGGAGAATATAGGCGGTCTAAGGAAAAGCTATGACTCGGCGATATTAGTTATACTACTATAGGACCTATAAAGTATCTCGGGGCTACTTATAGTATAGAAAGTCTAATTAAAAAAAAAAGGAAGAATATTAGTTAAAAGGAAGCTATAGAAAAGCAAGAAAATAGTAAAAAATAAGGAATAGTAGGAGGTTTATTTTACTACCCTTCCTACGCTATTTAGGCGGAAGGAACGACCCCCGGTTATATACTCGGCAGGTATATTATTTATAATAAGCACGCACGTTAGCGAGGAGCCCGCGATAATACCATTATATAAGAGCTCCTTTATACTATTTTAGCCTTAAAAGGATTTTAGCTACTATGGATTACCTCCCTTTAAAGGAGTCTTTAATAGAATCGAATAAAGGAGGCTATTTTTAGATTATACGCGGGGAGGCTAGGGTAATACGAGGTTATAACGACACGACCACGACCTCGCCGCCTCCGGTGGGGGGGTATATTACGGGCTATAGCCCGCGGAATAGTCCCCAGTAGTGGCCAGGACCAAAAAGCATAGACCTCCTAGCAAGACCCGTGCGATCCCACACGTACTTAGACGCCTACATACCGCGCAGACTTTTCCTTTCCTCCTTTCCTCCCTTAGTTCGAATAATCTATATTTTCGGCCTTAATACGTGAACACCTTTTAATAAGCCGTCACACTTCGGTACCGTAAGGAGGCCACTTATAACTAGAGGAGACTTATACGATATATTAGAATATAATACCGAGGCTAGGATAATTATAAGGTGGTTCCTATAACGGAAGAGGCTTAGGGACTTTCGCCTTACCCTTAAAGTTATAAAGGCCTACGACAATACCGGGGATACCGAAGCGGGACCGGAGCGGGGATAAGGCGGTAGAACGATTAATTAATTATTAGGATAAGAGCCCTATAAGCCGGGACCCTAGCGGTATCAACGTGGTACTATTATAGTATTAGCTAGTTCTTATTGTCCTTACCTCCCTTAGAGGTATTAACACCACTTTTAACGTATTTAAGACCCTACTAAGCCTAGTTAGCTAGCTGATACCACTAAGGAGCCGTAGCGGGACTAAAAGGGAGCTATTTATAAGGTGATCTAAGATTAGATCTATCTTACCCTTTAAGCGCCTTACTATCTTACCCTTTAAGCACCTTACTATCTTACCCTTTAAGCGTCTTATCTAATAAGATACCTCCTATAGCTTTACCGGCGCGGTGCCGCCACGACCACGACTAGAAGGTAACGCCCGGTTTAGGGCCCGGCTAAAAGACCGGGACGCCGTCCCTAAGCGCTCCTTAGCCTATAACTTATTAGTATAGGACTACCACGGCACTATAAGGAGATACCTATAGTAACGATACTAGCACTATTAGCGGCCTTCACAGCTATATACGCCTAGTAAATATCTATAAGGCGTTATTACTATTTCTTAGTAGCGGAGGGAACTTATTAAGCTATTAGCTATATCTACCTGTATATATATATACCGCACTATTACGGTACTAAGGCGATTTATATCCTTATATAGATAGCGATTATTAGTATAGTAGTAATAGGCCACGCCTATTCCCGTGGTATTAGCGTAAGCCTCTATATTATTAGGGTAAATGCCTAGACGCTTACTATAACGAATATAACTACCCTATATTAGCGATATAAGACTACTCCGACACTATTAAGGGCTATACACGGTATACTATATACTACGCCGCGCATATAGCGGCGGTTATTATTATTAGTATTATTATGACTAGGAGATAATATTTACGACTATTAGCACGCTACTACTAAGGCACCGCTACGCCACAAAAAGAACTTATATTATTCTGCTACTATTAATTACTTATCAATATATATAAATTAACGCTATACTACCTAGTTAACCCTCTACTACTACGATACCGCGACGCTACCCGTAAAACACTTATAGGAAAACTATAATAGGAATACGAAGAGAAAACTAAAGGGGTTTACTAGTTAGTATAAGCCGTAACGATAAACCTACAGGACTATAAGCGGGCATAAATCGGGAGGAAAACCTATAATAAACTCGCTAGCGTTATAGGAAGAAGAATGAGGATTAAGATATAAAGGCCTTAGGGGATATTAATTATCTAATTCTTATAATAGGATAGGGCCTTATCCCCCTACCTACCGCCGGATATAGCAGGAACCTACCTAAGGGAGGTAAAAGGCGCCTACCTTCTTACTCTCTTTATTAACCGAACGGAAGGAATAAAGACACGATCCTTAAAGGATATAGAGAGACCGAGGCTAAAAAGCCGTAGCCGCCGTATAGCGGAAGCATAATAATACTCCCTCGGCCTCCGCTCCACCGATCAAGATTAGCTTAGGCTAACCTATGTAACTACTAGCCTACTACACTTCCCATTAGCTATTAGCCTAAAGGTAAGATCCAGATATATAACAGGGAAGAACCGGGGCTATATCGGCCCCGTAGCGGCACCTCTCTACCTAAGGAAGTATATAGAGGTTTTCCCCGGGTTTTACCCGGGGTTTCCCCACTATAGCTACCCGAGAAGGACCGTATAGCCTAGAAAGGCTCCTATAGATTAGTTAGGATAGCGGAGTAAGATCGATAATAATAATAATAATAACAGGGGCGGATACCGGAAAAGACCGGATAGGATCCAAATAACATAGTACCTATAACAGAGTCTTCGCCACCTAAATTAAGGGTATAAGAGACTCTGACAGATATAACTTAATATAATACACACACACGAGATTTCTGCTCTAAAAAGTTAATTATACAAGTGCTATTTTGACGTGCGACACTTTATGGTGCGTGATAGGTATATCTGTTATATATATATGGAAGAGGAAACGAGATAAGCTCTTCCTCTTCTAGATCGTAGGAGATCTGACTACACTAATACTATAGCCTGATTAGCTACTAGCGGTGGTCACGTGACTACCCGTAATACTCCCCTGTAGGCAGAGGTCTAAAATAACTCAAATAGCAAACGGCTTTAAAAGCTCGAAAAACGTCGAAAAACGCAAAAAGCTCGAAAAGCAATATAAAATGATTTTATTAGTTTTATTAGATAGGCACTTTAAAGGCTATAAGCTAACTTATTCCTCCTTTTATTTTCTTAGCAAAACCCTGTATAAATACAAATACCGATATCTCCCGATCTTATTAATTAACTACCGTGCTAATCGTCCTTCTAAGTCTATATCGTGCTATATAAGCCAAGTTCAAATAATAATCTTTATTAAGAAGATTAAAAAACGCCCTTGTTATTAATCTAATCCGATAGTATGTTTAACAGTATAACGAAGAGATAAGGTCCGAGGCGCTCTCGCGTGCCCCTTATATATCTATATAAGCCCTTTAAGGTAGTAGTCCCATAGTATTCCTCCGACTAGCATATTATTTAGCTTAATAAGGCCACTTAGAGTAGCCTATCGCTTTTACTGCGATGGTGACGAATTAGGACTAATAATAGATTAGGTCCGCGACCCGATCATATTAGCCTTAGAGGCTAAAGATAAGGCTATAGTTAACTCTCTAGAGGACTACTGTCTCCAGGGCTATTACTATCTTTGCCGCTATACAGTTACTCCAGTTATCGTGGTTATTACTAGGTAATCAATACTATAATAATACTATAACTAATCTGTTACTTATCGGTATCTAACGCCTCTCGGTCTTCTATTATTATTAGAGGGCCTTAGTGCCTGATAAGTCTAAGGCCACTGCCTTAATTAGCAATCTATCGCCCTCTGGCTCCTTATTAGGGATAGACTAGTTAACTCTAATCTATCCCTCTGCTATATAGGGAGCCGAGTAGTCTGTCTTCTCTAACCCCTTCTACGGGGGTTTATTTTACTGTTAGGTGCCACCTATCCCTGGTTATCCTATAAAGTCGCGATACTTCCGGCATTATAGAGCCTTAGTGAGCCTATTAGCCGCTATCTCTTTGGTGCTAACGTGTTAGAGGTTAAATTAACCCCTCTCGATCTATTAGATAATCTATTTATATCTAGTATTAATATAACGCGTTCTGACAGATTTAAAGGTATTTAGAATCTAGCTTAAAGCTCCTATACTATCAGTTATTAATAGCAAAGGTCTCTTAAACGTCTAGAAGGCTATAGCGATAACTATCTTTATAATATATTAGAGGTTTATTACTGCTAGCACGAGATTAATAAACTCCACCTCTATCATGCTAAGGGCTATAAAGGGTTATTTCTTCGTTTTCTAGATAACTAGTCCTCCCGCGAGGAAATTAACGGGCCTACCTATTAAAGTCCTACTCACTGTATCTACGTGGACAGTATCTGCTACTGTATATACGCCTCTTCATAGGATGTCCTTAAAGTCTTCCCTCCTACTAGTGCCTCTAATACGCCCACGGCGCACGATAAGAACCGCCCCTTGCCGGGGTATACCGCGGGAACCGCGTTTCACGGAGGTATACTATAGAACCGATATACCACAGAGGTACCGAGTAAGGACTAGGTATTACTGGGCTATAGTATAGACCCCGGAGTATCCCCGGGGCTTTCCTATAGATATATTAGTTCGGGGCTTCGCCCCTTAGTTTAGACTAAGATCTCTTTATTATACCTTATTTACTATAGTAAAGGCTACCCCTTTCTAAGCCCTAGAATTCCTAGGTCTAATAGTACTAGCTAGCTAGATATATACCTAGTCAGGGTATAATAAATAGTAATAACTAAGCGTTTAGATAAGGTTTATATACCGCTGACCGGCGCGGACTATTTATACCAAGACTAAATATATATATAGTATACTAGCGGTCGCTGTCGCGGACTACGAATACGAAGTCTAACTAAGCATATAGTTTTTTGATAATTAAGATAGAAATAGATGAAAATGGAATTGATAGTAGACTTGGATTGTTGCGAACGAAGAAGTATGGATTCCTTTTTGTATGTGACTTGTATAACGAAAAAGAAGAATGGATTCTGAGATTCGGGGCATTGAATTTGACCCGAACGTAGGTGGCAGAATCGTGGTCGTACGATATAGTCTATTACGTCACACCACGATATAATACTATCCTCGATAGTAGACTATTAGATATTCAATATATGACGTAATCTCCTCTATAAATCGAGGATATATCTGAGTATACGATAAGCATAGCTATATCATAGTTGAGCTCTGGTATTAAGCTAGAGGCTTATATATAATTGTAAAATATCGTTAGATATTATTTGATAATAATATCAACATCCCCTTATAAGCTGGTTCTCGACATATATTCGGCTTCGGTGATGGATAAA